AAGTAAGCTGGACAAACAAGTGCCCCACACTCTCATGTCACCTAACACAGTCTCAACAGATACCAGTCATACAGCTCACAATTGTGACCTGCTGGGTGAATTCTCACTAGAAGAAGAACACATCCTTAGATGATTCTGCTTTGTATTTTAATGTGGGCCCCAAATCCATTGCTGTTGCAATATAACCTTACTCATGGACAGCCATGAAAGATAGTAGTAATAAGGAAAAAGTAGGTGGAGTTTTGTTCAGTATTATCCAATTTTGTTGAACAACACATGTCTCAAAGTAAACATAACATAGATTCATGGACAGTGGTGAATGCCTTGGCTCATTTGCTGGAGATATGTAGGGAAAAACTGGCATATTCAGGACATGGAGGTACAGGGAAGAAGAATGCAAATAGACATATGGGAATAGGCACAAAGTGGGAGGAATTTACCAGCATATGTTAACACAGTTCAGAGAGCATCAACTATTGAAGAGACATAAAACCACAAGGTACAGAGGATGACTGGTCTGATAGATTATAAATCAACCTCTGTGCTTACTCAAAGGACTCATGAATGGAGTAGTCATGGTGACAGAGATGGGGATTATTTATAGACCCAATAGATGGACTCCATTTTCTCATGGAAGCTGATCCAGCTCATGCCACAGCTAAACATTGAACCTATCCAGAAACAAATTCTGATTCTGAGTCCTTGATATGATACCATCCTTTGAGGGAATCGAGTGGACACTTGAAGGCAAGCTTATAATACTGGACCCTTCTCACCCCAACAAGGGTAATAACTTTTGAACAAAGTGACACCTAGTCTGAGTATGTATTTACCTTACCTGTCAGCAATATCTCAGAACCACACGCAAGAGTCTACTGGATCGGATTCCACATAATATCACCTCAGACCAAGACATCCTCTTTATTGCAAAGGGGGTGTGGTAGTGGAAACATGGCGAAGGAATCCTCCTGGTACTTCCATATAGTCAATGATTTAGAGGCTGCTGACTTGACAGAGGATGGAGATACCCATTTTAAGGCATAGCTTTCAGGACCAGCTTAGAGATGATACCCTGTATTAGGGCCACTAGTCCTCAGAAAGGACTACATTTGTCCTAAACCAAGGCCATTACATGGTACTGTGTCCCAAAGAGATAGAATACATGAGTTCAGAAATGAAGAGATGGAGGAAGGCATGACCCCAATTAGCCATCATTCCAGGGCTTACCTGAAAGAATTTGTATTTCCTGTCTCTTCTACTTTAGATCCTATAGATCTAGAGATTCTTTTTCTAAGAGAAGGGGTTCTTCTACTCAGAGACATGCCAGAAGTGCCACTCAACTTAGTTATGGTTGATATCTAATCACTTCAAGCTCTTCAAATAGACCAACAAGCAAAACAAGGAGTTAGTATACTGACACGATTGTATACACTGGGGTATTTGAATACACACTTATCCTAAGGAGGTAGGGTTGCTGCTACTTAACAAGAGGAATATGTTGGGTGCTAAGGTGGACTACAGGATATCTCTTGGTACTTCCAGGATGAACTTTAATTATAAAGGAAAGTGCACCAATCACGGTAAAGGAATGGTAGCCAGGGTATCAACGCTCAGGGGTGAGAGTCCGAGTCATCTCACCAAACAAGGTACCTTAGGCCATCTGACGTTCTAGGTGGGAATAAGAGGAATTTAGAAGGGGAGGAGAAGGAAATGATGAGTATCACTTACAAACTTGAAACTAATACCGGCAAAGGAGGCAGTAATTCATCCTGCTAATGCTCCTCTTCCAAGTTTCCCTAGAACTTGAGACCAACCCAAACTATGAAGAGGCTGAGAAGAGATGGGAAATGCTAATTGTGAGAAGCAAATGTATCTGAGAAGTACAAGTGATGGACTGTAGCAAAAGCTATGGGACCTCTCCCGATGCCCTTTTGCTGAGCCAGTGCACTCACACCCCAGTGGCTGCAGGTTTTAGCTGAACTGCTCAAACTGGCCTGTTACTCTGGGGAATTGCCCCAGGAAGCTGCCACACCCAGCGATTTCTGAGAAGTTAAATGGTCTCCTCCCCCTTGGGTGAACCAATAGCTAATGGCTGACTAATGCACACATCAATGCAGCCCTCCTCTTTTGGGCAGGAACACCTCTGGCTACAATCTGTTCTACATACAGCCTCCTGTGGGATTAGATTGAGCCTAACTCGCCTGAAATCGGATTTTTGACAAGCTCTGCCTTTAGCCTTCTCTCCCTCTCCTCACTCCCTCCCAGATTTCAACTGAGTACTCCCTCATAAAGCACTTGCGCGGACTATTTGTCTTACCTCTGCTTCTAGGCTACCAGATTTGATGGCTGTGCTGATGGCTCGTCCCTCTACTGAGGACCACAGTTTCCTCTGGCTGTCATTTCCCGTAGCTGCAGCCTCTTGCTGGAGTTTAGTAAAAGGCTTTTTCCCCTTTTCCAGTAGGATACGCCTCATGCTGGTGGCTTTTTTCCTGTTGATAGTCCTGGGGTCTTTCCCATTCCCTCAGTCTTGTTCACCTCTTTGCAAACAGCCCCTTCATTTAATTCTTCTCAATTCCCCCATTTCTGTGACAATTTCTTGTCGCAATCCTGACTAATAAGATGGGGACAAGCAGGGAGTCATCTGATCGGGTTTATGTTGGAAAGGTCCATCTGGCAGCAGTATGGAGGAGAGATTGTAAAAAAAAAAAAAAAGCAGTTTATAGGTTATTGTAATAATCCAGAATGTAATTGAAAGTGTTCAAACTTCAGTATTCATGGAGATAGCATTTTGGGGGTATGTTTGAGAGACAGCAAGGCAGTAAAATTGGTTTAGGGACGAAAATGTCCTAACACTGAGAGAACTAAAACCACATATGTTGTCTTATAAATTCGGTAAACAATAATTGTGTTCTTACAGATAAATTTACTCTTATCCTCTAGGAGCTTGTGGTGTTAATGGAATATCATGCCTGTTCTGATAGTTATTATACAAGGCAAAACAAAATGAATATTATACTAGAGTTCTAGGCAAGAGACTGTGAAAGCGCATAGAAAGGGATAGCCATCGCTCTAAGGTTATGAAGTACAAAATTGCCTAATTTCTAGAGCTAAACACATCTTCAAAGAAATTGTTACATTATCCAAACAAATCTGAGTAACTCCTTAAAATTACCTCAAAAGCCATACGTGGATATTTAGCATTCATCTCCCAGAGGCTGTTTAATTATCTTAATCACCATCACTACTGGTGTTAAAAGAATTACAAAGAACTTGCTATTAAATATTATTTGAACAGTCATTGGCATTTGATGAGTTTAATGTGTATATAATTGCTAACTCTAAATTTTTATGTAAGTATAGTGGAGTAATGAATATAGGCTATGTATGTAGACTTCATAATTACACATGCCATATATTTTATTACATATGATGTATTCTGTATATGTGAAAATATATTAAAATTATATGTTGAAATTGCATATGAATATGTCATCTTAGCCCAAATATTTATTTTGGCAAAATAAAGAATTAAATGACTAGGTTATCTTTTGCTCCTCTAGAAATGAGTAATAAGCGAAAATATGAAAATGTAAACAAATACCTGAAGATTTCGGAAAACAGGGTGGCTCTAAGGTATGGTGGGTATGAGGATAAATGTCTAAAGAGAGGGTTGTAGGATAGCTAACTAAGCTATGAAAGCCTTATTGTCTATGCTAGAAATGTCATTGGAACTTAGGGACTGATTGAATATAGCAGAGAATCTAGGTTACTGTGAGTTTTCCAGTTTGGTTGACTGATTGGATATAATTCAACTTACCCAGAATTGTAAGTAGAGTAAATAGGAAGATTGGCTTTTGCTGAGAAAAAAATATAGGAAAAATAGGCAGAATTGTAGGACAGAGGAAAAGTTAACCCAATGCCAGTGTCGACCCTGGAATTTGTGGATTTATTTGGTGCGTAAAGGAATCTAAGGACATCCCTCCTTGCCCAGGCACACACACCTGCTGTTATCCAGGTGAAACCGCACTGTCAGTTCCAGTCTCTTGTTCTCCTACCCACTCTGCAGGCATCCAGGGTGGATACTAGTAGATAACAGGTCCTTCACAAATTCTCTGTTCCTTCTGTGGTGTATCTCAATTTAGGAAATTTCTCTTCTTCTCTTCTTCCTGAGATTACATACTCACTGCACTGCAGGAATTTAATTTCTCCTCCCTTGGTTACACATTCTCTCACTGCACTTAAGGAATTCCAGTTACTTCCTATCATTTTTTAATCACCCTATTTGGCAAATCTTTTCAACATACTCTCAGCTCATCACTATTCCTGTCCTCTGAAAATAAATCTAGCATTCTCCCCAAGTCCATTCCTTCAGTTCTGTTCTCTCTCATTCATTTATTTTTGAAATGTCCTGTCCCTGTCTCTCTTTAATGAAAGCAGCAGAATCCCTTGGAAGAACTCTTTGGAAGGGAAAAAGAATTCTGGTTCCGGTTTTGCAAAGGTGGCTGTTCAGCTTTGGGCAAATATTTTATCTCTCTGGGCTTCTGGTTACTCATTTGTGAAATATAGGAAGAGACTGAAATAAATGCACGTTAGCAACTTTCCTATCTGTAAAGTTCTAGGACACCTAGTTCACCCTAGGTGATCTGATAGTGGATCCATCTATTCATCCTTTATGGATCATGATTTTATGTTTGTTATTATATTTGTGGCACTGTATTTAAATAACCTCATTCATTTATTTAGGTAATACATATTTATTAAGATAGTGCTGACTATATGTCAGGTACTGGCTCAGCTCAAAGAGCAGGACAATCGTGGCCAGTCCTTTTAGAGCTTACTGTGTAACTAGGTCTACAAATGAACATTCACAAGTGCGATGAAGGTAGCAGAAGATACAAGTAGAGGGTACTCAGGGATGCAAGACAGAGGAGTGTCTCCTCATCAGGGAAGCCTTCCTTAAAGGACTTCAGACAGAGTCCCAAAGGAGAGGATCCTGGGAAGGGAAACAAAGAATACTCCAGACAAGGAATAACATCTTAGAATGCCTGGAGACGAGAGAGAATAAGGATTTGAAAGAAAGTCTGGATAGCTGGAGAAGAAAGAATATAGAAGCAAGAAGGAAATAGAGGTAGGTACGTGGTTAGATTTTGTTCAGGGCATTCTGAATGATCTTAAAGTTTTGGAGTCTATCCTGTGAGCAACAAAGAGCCTTTGCAAAGTTTTAAGTAGGGAGAGTCCCTGCTTATATCCACATTTTTAAGAGTTTCAATCTAGATTCATAATGATAATATAAATAAAATAATTTTTACTGCATGCTTACTATAGGCACAGCTGTAAATTATCCTACTTAATTCTCAAAATGACCATATTAGTTTCCTAGGGCTCCTGCAATGAATTGTCACAAAATGAATGGTTTAGAATAACAGAAATTTATTCTTTCACAGTTCCAGAGGCTAGAAGTCTGAGAACAGGACATTGACAAAGTCATGCTCTGTTTGCACAATCTAGGGGAGAACCCTTCTTTGCTTCTTCCTAGCTTTCGGTGGTGGCTGACAATCCTTGGTATTCCTTCACTTGTAGATTCACTATCTCTGCCTTCATCTTCACATGGCCCTCTCTCATGTGTCTCACATCTTCTTCCCTCTGTCCCTTTGTGTCTAAATTTCACTCTTTGTTGGGACACCTGGGTGTCTCAGGCTGTTAAACCTCTGACTCTGGGTTTCAGCTCAGGTCCTGGTCTCAAGGTCAAGGAATTGAGTCTTGAGCCAAGCATCAGGCTCAGTGGGGGAGTTTGCTTCTCCCCCACCCATTTGCCTCTCCCCTCACTCTTTGTCTCTCTCTCTCTCTCTCAAATAAATAAATAAATAAATAAATATTTTATGAATAAACAAATTTCCCTCGTTATCAGACGCACACTAATCTAGTGTGACCTGATCTTGATTACATCTGACAAAACTACTTCCAAATGATCCCATTCTGCAATTCTGAATCCATATGAATTTATTTTATCTAAGCTACCACAGCAACTGTGAAAGGTCAACCCAATTTGGGACATGAGGAAACCAAGGCACTGTGAAGTTAAGAAATATGTATAAGGTCACAAAGTCAATATGTGACCAAGGTGGGTGGGCAAGGAGATCCCAGTAAGGAAACTATTGCAAAGTGATGGGGGTGATAGTAGTGAGACTGGAAATGTGGATCATTCTGATAAATATCTTTAGGATTTATTAGATTTATTTAACTATTTGAGAGAGAGTGAGAAAAAAAAGCCTGAGCAGGTTGGGGAGTGGGGAGAGGAGGAGGTGGAGAGCTTAACTTAGGACTAGATCCCATGACCCTGAGATCATGACCTGAGCCAAAATCAAGAATTGGTTGCTTAACCAACTGAACCACTCAGGCACATCATGATAATTATTTTAAAATTAGAAAGAATAATATATGTTAAAGGTTTGATGTGAGGGGTAAATAAGAGGAAGGAGTAAAGAAAAACTACAAGTTGCTGACATGAACAACTGAATGGAATTTCTATCATTTACAAACCAAAGAGAGCACCGGCCAAAGGGTGGGTTTGGAGAGAAAAATGGATAGATTCAGGGTTGTCAATGTTGAGTGTGGTACCCATGGGGCATCTGATTGTAGATGGATATAACTATCTAGAGTCCAAGAGAAAGATTTGGGCTAGATCATCAAAAAATAGAATCATTCCTTCATCATTTATCAAATATTTATGAGTATCTAACAAGTGTAGTCACCATTATAGACAGCAAGGACACAGCTAGGACAAAAGACAAAGTTCCTGCTCTCATGGAAATGCCATTCTTAATGGGGGAGACAGACAATAAACAGAAAAAGTAAATAAGACAATTTCAAATAGAAATCAGTGAAGTGTAGACAATAAAAACAAGTAATACAAAGATTTATGATTGGTACAGTTTACTTTCTTCAATTTAAATGGTTAAAGTTGGTTTCTCGGTCAGCACTGGTGGCTCAGTGGTTTAGCACCACCTTCAGCCCAGGGCGTGATCCTGGAGACCTGGGATCCAGTCTCACGTTGGGCTCCCTGCATGGAGCCTGCTTCTCCCTCTGCCTGTGTCTCTGCTTCTCTCTCTCTCTCTCTCTCTCTCTCTCTCTCTCTCTCTCTCTCTGTGTGTCTCATGAATAAATAAATAAAATCTTTTTAAAAAGTAGGTTTCTCTGAGGAGGTAATGTACAGGAGCTGACTTCATGGGCCTAAGTGTACAAAAACCCAGAGGCAAAAATGTTTTTGTAGTTTGTGAGGAACAGAAAGAAAGACAGCATGGTTGAAGCATAGGGTATCAAAGGAGTGAGGGAGGATAATGGAGATGAGGCCAATCCATCAAGGTCTGTAGGAATTCTTAAAATTGTGTGTGTGTATGTGTGCCCGTGTGTGTGTGTGTGTGTATGTGTGTATCTTTGGGAATAACATAAAGCCATGAGAATGGGGACACTAACAGAGAGAGGGGAGAGAAAGCAGACTGAGGCCAAAGAAAGGTTTACCATTATATGTCTCATGAAGAAAAGGCAGTCAGACCATAAAATAGAAAATAATATACCTTCATGTCTACTTCCCCTATTAAATTGAAAGTGCCCACAAAGTGCCAAAAAGTGTCTTGTACAAAATTATATCTATAAATATTCAACACATTAATTTCAGATAGATGAAAGATAATAGTAGAACAAAGACAAGATAGGACCCCCATTTGTGGTATTTTTCATCAATGGTCTAAAGTTCTTTTTTTTTTTTTTCCTGAGTTTACATCCTTGGCTATGTGACTTTACTGGTTTTTTTTGCATGAAAGTAATATAGTACGAGTTCCCAACCCTTGAATTTCATAGGGTTTGTTTGACTGTGTGGCTAGCATTGGCCAGTGGCATGAGGTAAACTAAGAGTGTGCCAGTTCTGAGTGTGAATGTGAATGTGTGTCTCTTCTTAGACTCTTCCATATCTGCCAACATCTGAGAAAGACATGCCCCAGCTAGACCCAGGAAGAAGGAAAAAGAAATACATAGAGCGCAGCTGCTCTATTATGATGCCCCATCAAGCCCATCCTAGAGCAAAGGACCCTGGCTAAGCTGCAGGTATACAAATGAGTCCAGCCCTGTCAACTCACAGGCATAGTAGTTAGAAAACAAAGGTTTGGTGTTAAAACTGTTCAGTTGTGGGATGGTTTGATATACTGCAATAGCTACTGATTCACCAGTATTTGAAGTGGTGACCTGGTTGGACAAGCTATAGGATAATGAGGTACTGATCGGTGAGTCAGGGAAGGGCACAGAAAAAGCAGTTAGTCATCTCCAACATCCACAATATTTCATAGAAGTCCTAAGAGTCCAGTAGAAATATCTGCAGAGTTGGTTTAGAAAAGAACATACTTTTGAGAAATGATTCATCTTATTCCCCGTATGAAGCCTGCTAAATTAACCCAAGGTCTAGGGTAAAATGATTAAGCTTTTCTACATGAGGGCAGTGCTTGGTGTTTACAAATCATCATTTATGATGACAAATAAACTGAATTATAGATGTTGGATTACATTATTAAATTACTTACCTTCTTAAAGATATTGGAAACAATTTACTCAATGTTAAAAAGGAAAAATGGCAAAGCCTATTTTTAAAAGCAACCCAGAATTGTTAATTCCAATTTTAAATGTTGAAAAAAGTAGTACAAAATTGAGAAACCCATTCAATGGTCATGAAAAATATAATAAGCCTAATAGTAAAGGAGATGGTGTCTGGAGTCAGAGATATACCAGATTGAGTTTCAGCTTCTCAGCTTACTTAGCTGTGGCCGCCATGAGAACACACCTCCTGAAATTACAGGGAGCATAGCTTACTAATGGCTCTGGCTACTGGATTGAAACCCTTTCTCGTGTTTGGGTTGAAGCCATGCCTTCCATGGGCTGCTCAGGCCAATGGCTGAGAATGGCAAACATACTTGGCTAACCCTTTCTCTTTTGTCAATCACTTTGGCTCAAGGGCTCTCAACAATTTTGCCAAAATTTCCTTAAACTTCAGGCAATCTAGGATGCTTTCACCCAACCCCTACTCCCACCTCATCACCTCCTTCATTCTGAGTCTAACTTGTATTATGGTCTGCCTCCTTCATCTCCCTCAGTATTTTCTTCCACATAAACATTTTCTCTGATAAATATTTTGCACATTTAATAGCATCTTGGCAGCCACTTCTTAAAGACCCCAGAATAACGCTCTAGCCTCCCTGAGTCTCAGTCTCCTCACTTGTAAAAGAGAACCTTTTCCATAGGATTATAATAAGGTTTAAAGGAACCAATAAATTTAAAACAAAATTGTACACTGATAGGCTTTTATAAAGGTTGAATTAACGAATGCAACCTTTCATTATTCATGTTATTATTATTATTACTCCTTAAGGGATGGTTATTATTTCTTGAGTCAGAAACATGAAACACATTAGCACATCCTGGGCTGAGGACTACTAGGAAGAAATAGATATAAAATAAATGAAAAATGAAAACAAGCTATATGTACAATTAACACAAATATAAAAGTTAAAAAAATCATCAAGGCCTCAGGCTATTTTATCTAATGGCCATCTAAAGTGAAAGATGGTATTCGATCCCAGGGTGAAGTAACCTGGCTTTGGTGTTACAGAGCCACTGGAGATTCAATTCTCTTTGATTATGGAAAAATTCAAGAGCACTCAGGTTAAACCGGGCTATCTTCTCCCAAATATAAATCAGCGTGTCAGGGAGAGGTCTCACAAATGCAGCAAAATATTTTTCTTGGCTTGAATTATCCTGATAATTACCTACATTCTGTATTTTGCTTAGGTTGAGAGCACACAGGTAATTAATGATCTTCATTTGACAGTGATTACAATTTGGGATCATGATTTACTTAACATTATTTGTCTGAAACTGAAAATGGAGGGCAACTGAAGGAGTAAAATTTTTTTTCCTCAAAGAAAATAAGTTAATAAAACTTAATAAAAGAGTTCAGGATCACTTCTTTCTATGTCAAACGTAATTAAATATGTTTAAAGAATAAGAAAGAATTACCAAGGGAGTTTAGTTTTTCTTTTTTTAGACATCGTGCCTAGTACATCAATTCTCAATAAATATGTTGTA